ATTCCACTTGCTATGTTAGTGATGCCGTGCGATTAGTGATGTCGAGCGTTCGCGAGACAATTACGCCAATGCACCTTGCTCCTGGTCCAAACGACGTTATCTACCAATATACGCCTATTACGTAACTATTTGACATACTCATACGTCGCGAACCGCGGTTATGTTCGGAAACTACACATTTACCGTCCAGAGGAGATTGCCTAGGAAGGAGCTGCGCCCAGTTGTAAACGCACAGATAAGTGAACAAGAGCTCCGCTGTCGCAGTTTCAGCGCAGGGAGGTCTACACAGCCCCGTGTGTAACCTTACTCTGATTATTGTTTAGTAGACCTGTGTTAACGGTTAGGCCGACGCGGATTTACAGATGAGCTTATGTCTTCGCCACCATTATCGCTCGAATTGGCGTGATCTTTTTGGTTCGTAGTCGCTTCGGCACAGATCCCGCCGAAGTTTTGAACTCACTCTGTATTTGGCGGGTTGACACATTTTCACCTAAGGTATGTGGGTCGTTGTACTTCGTTGCGTAGAGCCACCCCAGGTGTTGGTATAGTGGGCGGGACGTTGTGCAGGCGATAAGGCTTTGAATAGTAATACTAACCGAGAGGCGGTAAAGCTATGATAACACGCAGTGAAGACGGCCAGTCGGTCTAAGCTCACCAGGGGTAATGCTCTTTCGCCGACTTCTGACTGGGCCCCGGCCGGGCAGCTTCGGGCTGAGAGCATCACTATCGCCTCCCGCGCCACTAGGTTGACTCGTTCTCTGGAGCTGCCCGCTGACGCTGCTCGAGCAGTTACGCAGGTTCATGCCGTGGGTTTATATGATTGTATTGAAGTGCTCATGCCGCGCACGCTGTGGGTAACCTCGGGTCGCCTCTTGGGCGTGACCGAGCATGTGGCTCCCGAACACTAGTGCCGGTTCGGTCATCGTGTCTAGTCGGATGTACGTCACTGTGCGGGGCTACAGTCGCTACTTCTTTATCGCGTCCGGCAAGAGTTGTGAATAATAGAATATTACACAGCGGCCTGAGAAGGGTGTTGTAGAGCTCTGGAGCTATTAATAGTGGAGGACACACCCTAACAAGACTCACTTCTGTCCGTAGTTCCCCTTTAATACGGTGATGGAGGAAATGAAAACTTTTAAACCTGTGCTGACTTAACACAACATTTTTTTATTCGACTTTCCTCTAACTGACTTGTGGCAGAGGTCAAAACCGCTCTGTGGTTTCACTTTTAACACTCGGCGCTGCTGATGACAGGATGTAACAGAGGTGCAAGTGTCTTGTGCAGTAAAATGGGGTCCTGCTGACACGAATGGGAAAGAACGCAACTCTAATCAGCCCCGCAACTGGGACATAATGCGTACCATTGTTGTTGAGGTCAGGCGTGGGCCTCAGTCTGCACTGCTAAGTCCCCATAGACGTGCGCATGCTGCCGCTCTGTTATCTTGCAAAACGCAGAAAACACTGACATGAATACGTTTTGTGGCCTTTTCAAACCAAATGTGAAGTCAAAGTGGGTTGCTGCCATGACCGTAGAGGGAAAACAGAACGGCTTAATCTGTCTGCTTACAATGAATGAGATAAGTCTGTAGAAGAGCTGACATGTTGTTTGATACATGGCAGGATGTATGCTACCCTCCAAAGAGCCTGTGTTTAGCTGTAGAAGAGGAGGCTCGGAGGACCCAGCCACCAGAGGATGTGGTTACTTCCTGTCGATAAGTTCAATGCACAGACTGAGCCCAATTGGCATGTACTTTATAAAGTTGTAGGGATAGAGGCTTTATAAACTATATAATTAGCACAATACCATTCTAAAGTGGATGGAATGGGTGTTCACAGATATGGTTTTGGTCTGTAATATTTAACACCAAGACGAGAATTAGTTGATGTAAAGGGTACCTAGTGTAGTTTGCCGAGACAAAGTTATCATTTCTCAATGTAGCAAACCACAGCACACCACTTTTTCAATACTTGCCATGTGTCACCAATTGAGGCAGAACCAGGAAGCGTATTTTAAGTGGCGTTAAGCTAAACTTTTATTTCTCATAAATAATAAATAAAGTTTATTCCAACAGAAAGAGTCTGTTGGGAACAAATCTGACCACAACATTCCATCTTATGTGTAATTTACATGATGTTGTAGTTTGAGAATCATAGTATGTTGTATAATATGGTGTTTTTCACTAATGTTTATTTATTTTTTTAAATGTATTTTTAATATTTTTTTTGTAATGCGAAATTGGAGCCAGGCAAAGTTATATATGACCTGTGATTTTCTTTAACACTTATGTACTGGTCCACAAAGATGTAATGAATCGATTATTCACAAGCAGCCGATGAATGTGTCACTGTAATGTAAAATATGCAAAGATCACTTATGCATCGATGTCTTCTTATCTTTACAGATCAGTGTGAGAGTCACGACCATGGACGCAGAACTGGAGTTTGCCATTCAGCCGAATACAACAGGAAAGCAACTCTTTGATCAGGTAATTCAATAAAATTAATTTGTATGTGCATCTTCACTGTTTTGCCATATATTGATGTTCTTTTGTCTTATTCCTAGGTGGTGAAAACCATTGGACTGCGAGAAGTCTGGTATTTTGGTCTCCAGTATCAGGACACAAAGGGTTTCTCAACATGGCTCAAGCTAAACAAAAAGGTAGGATTTTACTAAAGCACACTCTGGTTCTTTGTAAAGAATACAAAAGACCCGTTTAAAAAGTGATAATCTATCACACCTGTTTCTCATTCTTATATATTTGATGAATTCAGAATCTCTATATTGAGCTAATGTTGTGATAGAATCTGTTCAGTCCCGCCACGGTCACAGCAAAGACCCTGCTCCAACACATCAATCACTCTAGTAAATATCAACGCAAAACAAACAACCTCAGACGAAACCTCAACAAATAGATCATTGTTTAAATCATAATTTGTTTCTGTAATTCAACTTACAATGAAACTAACATATGGCTCATTACATACAGTGACATATGCCAAGCCACAGTGTGCACTTATTCCTATTTATCTATATTATATTTCAATTTGGAGAGACGAGAAAACAAGAAGCTTTTGAGTATTTTATTGGGAGGAGGTTTGGCGCCCTAGGCCCCGGTGCGGCCTTCAGATCGGAGAGGCTCCTGCGATGGAGCGCGCCAATCCCCCGGGACCTAGGCACTGGTGGCGGCATTTGGCAGCGGGAAGCAGATTGAAGGCAGATTGGAGGCAGGGTGAAGAGGAGGAGGAGGAGGGGAGGCGGTGGTTGCAAGGCTTCGAGAAGGCCGAGAGTGGGAGTTTCTCCGCTTTTAAGCGGCTGCCTGGCCGGTACGGTGATTGGAAGGGGGCGTTTGCTGTGCGATAGGCTGGGGATGTGAACCGGCCTGGAGGGGGTAACTTTGGCTGACGTCTACCAAATTGAATTTCCGCGGGCTGCATTTTTATACTATTCTATATTATACTATATTTTATTCCTTGTTTACACTATGAGTCAAAGCAAACTCCTAGTTTGTGACTTCCTGTTTCTTACAATGGCTGATTCTGTTGTGATTTTCATGGTTACGGCTTACAATCCATTTTCTGGGATGTTCTATTTGGGGTTTTTACAAGCACTGAGTTAAATATCAACAATATAACAAATAATGGCTTGATATATGTCACTTTGTGAGTAATGAGTCTGTCATATTTTAGTTTAACATTATAAGTTGAATTACAGAAGTAAATGGACTTTTGAACAATATTGTATTCTGTACTACATACTATGTTCTCCTCTAAACATTCAGCGTCTTTGACAATAACCGTTTTGCTCAGGTGACAGCGCAGGACGTGAGGAAGGAAAGCCCCCTGCTGTTTAAGTTTCGGGCCAAGTTTTTCCCTGAGGATGTGTCCGAAGAGCTAATCCAGGACGCCACGCAGAGACTCTTCTTCCTTCAGGTGAAGGAGGGAATCCTAAACGACGACATCTACTGCCCCCCAGAGACCGCCGTGCTCCTGGCCTCATACGCCGTGCAGGCCAAGTATGCAGACTACAACAAGGAGGTCCACACGCCCGGATACCTGTCCAGCGAGAACCTGCTCCCCCAGAGGTAAGCGGATCCAGCTCCATTACACTTAAGGGATTGAGAATGTGTGAACGGGTGATTTCTGTGCTATAAAATAGATATCAATCGATATCTGTTCACAGTTTACTTGGCACAATAACAGTATGCGATAAAGATATTGTAAATATGAATGGATACTAAGATTAGGCTCAGAGCTTTCAGCTGGTTCAGGAGATCACCATCCGCCCCACACCGATGCTGACGACGGTGGGAGTCAAACTGTGCTGTTGGTACAGGCCTGTAAACAAGTAATTAGAGGGCTGCTTGAGAAGACACGGAAGACATGTTTGGACTGTTCAAGATGGGGTGCAGAAAGTGGATGTGTGGCCCCACTGGAACCTCTGTAAATGTCTCCTTACAGTGCACTACTATAAATAATAAAGTATGTTATTATTAAAGAAAAGGCTGTTGAACATGTGGCAGTACCAGGATATGAGTATGTGTATGAGAATGGGTGAATGGGCCCTTGAAGTGCTTTGAGTGCCTAAAATGGACGGGAAAGGGCCCGCAATATTTTGTATTGGCTGCATTTAGAATAATGCTGTAAACCATTTTATTATATTTAAAATGTGATATACTTGGATTGTGTGAACTAAAACCTTCACAATGCTGCCAATAATGAAGAGTGAAACGTATACCAATGTACTGATATCACAGTAATGAAGGTTTTTTTCTGCAGAGTCCTGGACCAGCACAAACTCAACAAAGAGCAGTGGGAGGAAAGGATTCAAGTCTGGCACGAGGAACACAAGAGCATGCTCAGGTAAGCTTCATTACTCAAGATTATTATTTCTCTGTTTCAGGTATAAGTTTTTATTTATATACTTTTTTTTGAAGAAATTATTTCAACAACATTCCCAAGAAATATTCCTATTGATTTTCCACTGAATATAGATGTGTTTTACTTATTTATTCATTCAAACTTGTGTATACACATTTCACACAAAAATGACCTATTCTTTTGTCATTATCAGAGAGGAGTCCATGATGGAGTATCTAAAGATTGCTCAGGATCTTGAGATGTACGGAGTGAACTATTTTAGCATTAAAAACAAGAAAGGAACAGAGCTGTGGCTGGGAGTGGACGCTTTGGGACTCAACATTTATGAACAGAATGACAAGTTAGTTAAGCTGTATAATAATGTTCTTAAAGTGACAATATTGCGATGTCTGACTCTGATTTGTTTTCAAAAGAATGACGCCTAAAATTGGATTTCCATGGAGCGAAATCAGAAATATCTCCTTCAATGACAAGAAGTTTGTAATTAAACCCATCGATAAGAAAGCACCTGTATGTACATGTCTGCTGTGGATACTCCACATTTACTCTGTGACCTGTCCGTGACTCTTGCTGCTTGCTTGTTTTCAGGACTTTGTGTTTTATGCTCCGAGGCTGCGTATTAACAAGCGCATCCTGGCACTGTGCATGGGCAACCACGAGCTGTACATGCGGCGACGCAAACCCGACACCATCGAAGTGCAGCAGATGAAGGCCCAGGCCAGAGAGGAGAAGAACCTCAAGAAGATGGAGAGGTACGAGCCCTGTCCGATTTCCCTGCGCGCTAAAATACATGCACACGTACAGACGGACACACACATACATAGATACACACACGCATGCATCTGCACACACACACACATCCATAGGTATGCTCCTGCCACACTGCAGCTGCCTCATTGGAACAGTGGGTGGAGTATCATGTCAATAAGCGTTGTCATAATTCATATGTGCACTATGACAGAACTTGCCATGCCGTTTTATCACACAAAGTTTTTAATGAATTTGTACAGATTGATGTCAAATGTGTAAAGAGAAGTGAAAGAAATAATAAAATATACAGTATAATGGAGTCTTCTTTTTAAAGTCAATATTCTTGTATGTGCTTTGAGAACAGTGGTATATATTGATATAAGTAGAAACTGTAATGTTTGTAATGCAGATGATATTTTTTAGCAATTCTTAAGAACTGCTGTATGTTTGTAGTATAAATGCCTTGTGTTTTTATTCTATAATATTTTGTTTTTGTTTTCAGGGCTCTGCTCGAAAATGAGAAACGAAAACGAGAACTTGCCGAAAAGGAAAAAGAGAAGATTGAAAGAGAGAAGGAGGAACTTATGGAGCGGCTGAAGCACATCGAGGAGCAGACCAGGAAGGCTCAACAAGGTGGGAGAGCTCCACAAAGACAGGGCCTGTTATCGCACAATGCCGCCTGTGTTTACTCCTGTAATGTGTGGACAGAGCTGGAGGAGCAGACGCACAAGGCTCTGGAGCTGGAGCAGGAGAGAAAGAGGGCTAACGAGGAGGCTGAGCGGCTGGAGACGGACCTCCTGAGGGCGGAGGAGGCCAAACTCGCCCTTCTCCAACAGTCCGAAAACCAGATGAAGAACCAAGAGCACCTGGTCAGGCACAGATTCACTTTATGACCAGGTGGAGCGTGAGCTGCTCTCATAATGACGCTTTATTTCTTCTTATTTCAGGCCACTGAGTTGGCAGAGTTGACGTCAAAGATTTCTCTCCTGGAAGATGCAAAGAAGAAGAAAGAAGAGGAGGCCAATGAGTGGCAACAGAAGGTCAGTGAATATAAAAAAGGACTTTATTTAAATAAAGTAAATAAGGGATGCTTTCGCAATAGTGTTACAACAATCGTGTGATGGTAAAAAATAACGTACACAATAAAAGTTCGTAAGTATAAGTTTGTGGCGATGTAAAGAAGCATGTTATACTTTTCAATTATTTTAAAACAAATAGTCTAAGGAAATAAACTGCTTCAAAGTTATGTGTTATTAATGATAATTACGTATGTAGCAGCTGAGAAAACCAGTCTTCCAGTTTTAGTCCATTGACCACGAAGCTAGTGATTTTGTGTGCAGAGGGAGGGATCCTGCACAAAGCTAACCTCACGACTTTCTTTGGGCAAAGCCTTGTGTGCCAGCCCACAGTGACTCATGCTTTTGCCTTTGTGGAGAGGAAATCCTGTTTTACCTCATTATTATGCTGGATTGTGGAAAGCTTTCAGTGTGATAAATGGTTCTTTCCATGATGTGCATTCTTTTGGCATCCGGATCACATTCCATTGTTATCCAGAGTCTAAATTTGTTCTACAGAATAATCACAGATACATTTCCATGGCATGCTTTGTAGTATTTTGCAAAGTTCAAAATCGGATGCTTAATTCTGCATCTGATGATATGATGCGTATCACGATACAAATGTTACAATATGATATTTCCTAATTCCAAACTATAAGACGATCACGGTGCATTTTTGTTTTTGTAAAAAGCCGATATTTGACTGTCTCTTGTTGTGTGTGATTCAGGCCACCACAGTGCAGGAGGATCTGGAGAAGACCAAAGAAGAGCTGAAGCACAAAGTTCTGACCGCTCACGTCCAGGAGCCCATCACCGCAGAAAACGATCATGATGAGAACGATGAGAGCAGCGCCGAGGCCAGCGCAGAATTCTCCTCCGCCGTCTCCTACAAGGACCGCAGCGAGGAGGAGCGCATGACTGAGGCAGAGAAGAACGAGCGGCTGCAGAAACATCTGCTGGTGAGAGCTTCAGCCAAAACGCCACATAACTTATGACACCTGCACCACCATGTGACATTCAGATCCTGTCAGACCTCTGAAGCTATGCTGGGTTGGGCCTGGTTAGTTCTGTGATGGGAGACCTCTGGGAACACAATGTGCCACAGTGGGACGGCTAAGGCTGTAAAGTGCCAAACTGTCAGTGTGTCTTAAGACACCTCACCCACATTGCCTAGAATGATTCTGGTGTGTGCGCTAAGGGTTGATGGTGCGGACGCAACTTTGAGCGTCCAATAAAGCACTATAAAAATCAATGAGGTATTAGTCTAAGATGGCAAAGACTGTTCAGACTCATTATTGATTCACTCAGAGTCGTGGTAAACTACCGCTGTAGCCTCAGCTGCTCTGGGGCAGACTGACCCCTCTGACCTCCACCATCATTGTGGTGATCCCTGCTGTCTCTCACCACAATACATTTCCCCACTGTGGGAAGAATCAAGGTTCTCTCATCTTATCTTAGCTTCTGATACTAAAGGTTTGGATGTACAGTATTTGAAATATTTTTTGACACCAGAAAAAAAAAGTATTAAAACGAGTTTAATTGAAATGTCATATTTCTTTAAGTACATATTTCTACTGCCAGGCTAACACTATGACTTGTGTGTGTCCTCAGGCCTTGAGTTCAGAGTTAGCCAATGCCAGAGACGAGAGCAAGAAGACGGTGAATGACATGATCCATGCAGAGAACGTGAAGGCGGGGCGCGACAAATACAAGACCCTGAGACAGATCCGCTCTGGCAATACCAAGCAGCGCATCGATGAGTTTGAGTGCATGTGAAGCACTGCTCTCTGGACTGCAGTCCTATCTCCACAGGCCACACAGTGGTCGTCTACACACATGTACAAATATGGACCTGATCATCTGTTATCATTCCATTCTGAAGTTAGTCACTGCTTGAAAAGGGACGTAGTGTGTGAGGTTTGTGTAGCACGGCCTATTCCGATATTTAAACACATAATTAACTAAGCCAAATTATTTCAGATAGTGTGTTGCCAAACTTTTGCTGTAAATATTGAATTTGACTCGCTGGATAAACCATTTAGGCATCACGCTGCATTTCACATCATACATTGACCTAAACACAGAAGTATCACAGTGGAGACCTACAAGGGCCATATTTAAGGATTTTTTCATATATTTTATTTTGATAGTCTGTCACAAACCATACAGTATTTTAACCTCTGTCACAAAGTGACAATCTGATATTTTATTGTTTTAATTATTTGCCAAATTTTACTGTACATTCAGTGTTAGACCTTCAGATGTTATTCAATACAATGACATATGCAATGCTTTATCCCAGTTTATTTTTTAACTACATTAGTCATCTCAATCTGTTAACATCCACAGCAGAAACTCAAACGTAAAATGAAAAATTCAAATGAAATGGCCAAGCTTGAGCCAGTAATGAGGTCATCGATATTTGACATTGTCTCTAAAGACTATGAGCTCGACGGTGAGGGCAGAACTAGGATCAGGGTAGGTTTATTTTGGATTTAAATCAGTATTTACATTTTCACTTATAAAAATAGCAGGCTGTTTTGTGTGAGGAAAACTGTTTTTATTATTCTGGATTATGAAGAGTTGATTCACATGTTTGAATCAAAACAGTATTAGCTTCAGATCATTGTCAATGCTCCTTTGTGCAGAAGGAATGAGGTTTTGCACAATCAGTCATATTTTGTATATGTGAAAAAATAACTATTTTTTCAACTTTGAAACAAAGGAAAATTTTGAGAAATATTCTTTGTGGTATATTTTGCTATCTCGAAGGAGACATTTTGGTAGATATAGAAAATAACAATAACATTGAATATCATTCCCTGCTGTTAATGTGTTGTAGATTTGATAAGAGAATAGAACCTATGAAAATAGCCAAAATAGAATTCAGAAGGACACTGTAGAATTGTACACAATACTGTACACTACCACAGCACCTAATGATTTTGTTTTTTATTGTTCCCTTTTATCATTAAATAAAAGAACAAATTGCTTAAATCTCGTCAATCTGCATCTTTTTTACCCCAATATATAATGTATACATTTTACAACGTAAAGACATCATTGCCTTCAAAGTCCAACAGACGACCGGAGAACTGCTGCTCAGGGCTCGATCACAAGAGGGCGACACAGGACCTGGTTTGATATGTACACACCATAGACTGTACACGTACACACACACACACACACACACGCCATACACACGCGCACACACACGCACAGACGCAGCTTTATTAACAGTATTACCCTGTAGTTCCATTTAGTTCAGACGTTAATAAATTGTGACGGAAACACAGAAACGATAATAATCTAATGAGGTTGTAATTTAAGGACATGTGGGTGTTTGTGACTTCTGTCTTTAAAGTTGTTGAAATGATTACAAAGTAAAAATTCAACTGCCACAGAATGTGTCGACACAACCAGTCTTGCATCACAAGCAAACACTGCAGAAGCATTTACTCATAGACTGCAGCACCACAACATCATGAGTTTATGATCACTTTAATTATTGTGTTAAAAGTACTATAAGTACTATAAGTCACTATACACCTTCTGTAGTCTGAGGGACTACAGTTTAAAATAAGTTTTAGCTCAAACTGGCACTTCGAATGGATTCATAAATAATGTTGCAACATGTGACACATGCAGTATCCTCCAATAGTGGAACTGTCTAATGGGCAATACTTATGAGCAGATATAAACTGCCACCATAGAAGGGAACAGGAGTGTGTCGACTCATATCTTTTACAACATGGATTTAAGTCCCCTGATATTTCAGATCTACTGATTAATCAATCAAATAATCATGACCCACGACGAGAGTCAAGGATTACATGTACACATGAGATTCAAGTGCCAAAAAACAATCAAATTACATCACAGTACAGGCTAAGATTGGAAACAGCAATAAAAATACCAAACACAAGAAAAGACCCAAAACACATTGTCTATATTTAATCAGGTTGAAGGTAAAAAGTACACTTTATCTATCCGGGTATAGGCAATTATGATACATGACACTGCACGGAGGGACAGAGAGAGGTCCAGGGCCAGAATGGAACTCATGAGAGGAAGTGACAGTCAATGGTCTTTTCATGTTACCAACTACCAACTTCCTGCCCAGCCATTTTTAGTAATATAACCTTTGCAAACAAACACATTACAAATATTCTGCCAGTTTGGTGGTCAGTTTGACCAGAGACAAACTTTGCATAAATAAGTAAGAATATTATGAGGCCTCGGTAGAACAGCCTGAAAAAGTTACAGCCCCCAATCAATGTTTTTGAAAACATATGTAAGGGCAAAAAAGATTGGGAACCTGTGCAAAACTTTTATACCTCTTTTTTTATTATAATTTTCAAGATAGAGATTTTATACTTGTTATTTGATGCTAGAGTTAGATAATTTGCTTTATTTGAATGCGTATAGCTATTGTTCACTTAACTTGTGCAGTGTGCTCCTCTTTCCTACTGTTCTATAAATTGTGATGCAACATTGAAATTTCCCCACTGTGGGACAAATAAAAAATCTCTTAATCTTAATCTACAACATTATCATTGTATATCCTTCTGCACACTTTTTGCTCAATGTCTACATATTTCCATCAATCACATTTTTCTTACTTTATTAAAAAACGTAGTACAACATGAGGGGCCCTCTCCTTATCTCTTAAAGTAAAAGGCGTCAGCAGCATTTCACAAGCATGATTTGATGACACTTTATTTCCACATATTTCCTGAGAGCTTGCTTTGCACTTATCTTCCTTGTTTTGACTTCCTCTTTGAGCGGCTGAGGCACAGTGGTCAAACGGATAGTCTACAAATATACATTCATACTACTGTCATCATTGTCAAGACCTGAACAACTGGGAGGACTTAGGCTCGGTGTAAGCGCTGTGAACTGTGGCTGTTTGAAGTTTTGTCTAACTTAATCTTTTTATTCTTTCCTTTCTTTTTTACAGGTAAACATCTATTCATTTGCAGAACCAGACCCCCCACTCTGTGTATTTGACAAGCTGAGTTGAACACTGTGCATCATTGAGTGTCAGTTTGTCAAATACCCCAAGTGAGGCGTCACTCATCAACCAACAAAGATATCATAGTGAGTAAGTCCAATCCAAAGCAAGTTTATTTGTCTTGCACGTTTTATACTGAACGTAATGGATGCATTGACAATAAATTCACCCACATGTCTACCAAGTAAAATTTAAAAACAAATTAAAATAGACTAAAAGTAGCTATGAATGCATAATTACATGATGTACATCTTTTTTGTATATTTTGCTATATTAGACAAATGTTGAAAGCTAGAGAATGAAGGTGGATCTTAAGACTTAAAAAAGCCACAGAAGGTGCAGATTGTGAGTAGAAGCAATAATAAAGTGGAATCAAACGTGTGCATTGGTTGATTTTTCATTGCATTTTTATGGGGGGAGAAGAATTGGATTATTAACCGTGCAACACTGTCCTCTAGACGTACTTCTCTAAAGTGGTGTTTGAGTTCCTCTGTAGATAACAATCACTCTGCGCTTGTGAAGGCAGTATGGAACTAACACGCACTACATCATGAAAGATGGTATGATGATAAAGTTATTATGGTTGCCCACATTTGTGAGTTTTATTGCTTACAACAGCAGAGAACAATCTTTTGGGGGCCTCATGTTTCCTGTTGTTAATTTGCACAATATATCACCATCAAGTCACTACCACTGCATCACTGTGTCTGATCCAATATGACCACACTATGGCCCCCTAGTGGAAAGTACGGCCCTCCAAGCCTTTTTTAGTTGGCCCTCAGTCAGACAGTCTCTTGTGGCTATGAACGCTATGTGTAGTACGTTGTATAACCTTTTGAAACAATAATCTAATCTTCATTAAGCCAGAATTAAGCTTTTCAATGTGTCCTCTTGTCTTGTTAAGCATGAATACAGATGTTATGGCTCTGTCTACCTTGTGCTTAAAGCTTGTAACTTTCAAACCACAAATAAAGAACACTGGTTTTCACATGCATGTATTTGTGGGCTGCATCTTTTGATCAACTTTTTCAAGCAGAAAAGTGGAAAAGAGAGGACCACCCTTATCATATCTTGACAAATACGTAAAATAGTTTTTTTTTAGTCACAAAGGCTTATTATTATTATTATCTTATGATCATTCTAAATACTATGCAGGCTACTGTGACACTGTAATTTCCCTTGTGGATCAAAGTCTCACAATGCAAAATATACTGTGATTTCTAAGAAGATAAAAACAGCATGTTGTGATCTGATTTGTCTGATTTTACTCTTCTTTGAAATGGTTACAGCCTTTGATCTAAAGCATTTGGGCTCTACTGCCTAAGACTAGTTTATTAAACCGACGCATAAGACGAGTGTATAAAACAGACACAACAAAAATATGCATCATGTACAGATACAGTAACGTCATGGTAAAGAAATATGGAACTTTTCACATTAGTATTTTGCCTTGATATTAGATTGCTATTATTCATGTCGACCACTAGGTGATAGTAGAGCTCCTTGGCATGATCACTAGGAAAACCTGCTTTCTTAAAAAAAATCATTAAAGCATATTACAATCTAATGACAGAGTTTTACCAACAGTGTTTGAACCTTGTGGGTAAATACACTATTGTTAGGTATTGATTCTCTCCAGAAGAATGTTGAAATTGTTGTGCAAAGTTCAGCTTCTTAAAAGTAATTCCATGTGTATTATGTAATGCAAATGTGTTCTACAGCTTTTCCCACAAACTGAGAATGCATAAATGTTTGTGGAAAA